GGGGGGGGAGAGGGTGTGAACGGAAGGGTGGCTTTTGGGGGACAACCTGGAAGTTTGTCAAGTCACGGTGCCATGAACAGTGGGGTGGGCACAGAGTGATTTTGATGGGCCTTTGGGGAGGACAAGCCGGGAAACAGGTTGTGGGGCGGCTGGAGAGGTGTCAAATGAAAGACGATGGGGTGAAGTTCTCCTCCTGATGGCCCCTGGTGTTTTTGGCCACTGCATGACAGAGTGTTGGACTGGATGGGCCGTTGGCCTGATCCAACACTAGCTTCTCTTATGTTGTTAATACGGGACGGAGCCCTGACACTGGTAGCCCAGACTAGCCTGATCTTGGAAGTTAAGCAGGGTCAGCCCTGGTCAGTATTTGAACGGGAGGCCGCTAAGGATGTCCGGGGTTGCTACGCAGAGGCAGGCAACAGCAGACTACCTCTGAACAAACCCTATGGGATTGCTGTAATTCAACTGTGACTTGATGGCAAAAGGGGGGGGGATGTACTTGGAGCATGAGCAGTGTTCCCTCTAAGCTGAGTCAGTGTGAGCTAGCTCACAGTTTTTTAGCCTCCGGCTCACCCATTTGTGCCTTCGCTCAGGAAGGATGGGGCTCCAGAGCAGACGCATTCATGCAGTAGCCAAATCGCCTGCTCACAACTTGAATGCCAGGAGCTCACAAAGTAGAATTTTTGCTCACAGGACACCACAGCTTAGAGGGAACATTGGCTGAGATATCGCCACAGGGTTCTGGCAGCTGCTTGTCGTGCTCTTTAGCAACTCTTGCCAGACCGGGAATGATTGTGCTACTCCCACCAGGAGAGCTGGAACATCGGGATGCCGTCCTGAAACAGATGAGGAATTCAAGACTGCAGCAAGAACTATATGCTGCTTTGTCAGTAATGTGGGGGTGGATGGAAGCAGTCCAGTTTCTAGTGTTGGGGTGAAGGGAAGGATGGGGGGAGGGTCTTAAATGTGATAATATGAAGGGCTTTTGAAGGGGCAGAGGGAAGGTGGAAAACTAACAAGATTTAAGCATGGCCGGAAGAATCCAAAAATTATCCAGAACACATTCCATGGAAGACCTTTTAGAAGGACCAGCCCGGTGATGCAAGCATTTCTGTCTGCTTTGGGAGAGCCTGCTTGCTTTCACTGGTCCCGTTGCATTTTTTAATTGTAAATTGCCTTGCAGTCTTGCAACAAATAGATAGTTGATCTTCTGAAGATTGCTTTTGGTCTGGCTCTTTACCATGGTTACTGTAGTCTCCATACCTGTGGTCAAGATTGCTGTGTTTGGAGGGCTGGGCAGGGCAGGAACAGAACTGCAGAAAGACGTCAGGCAAATAGAACAGATCTTCTTGCTTCGCTGCTTGCCTCTTTGAGGTGAGCGAGCTTGACTGTCCCCTTACACGATGCTGTGATTCTTCCCACGCCTCCCCAGCCCAGAGGTGTAAGTTATCTGGTTTCCCTGGTAGAGGATCTTCCAGTTGAGAAAATACTTTTGCTGAATTTGGGTGTGCATTTGGGTATTTGGGTAATGCCAAAGCTGGAGGTAGTTGAAAATCTTAGTTTGGTATCAGTGCTCCCTCTAAGCTGAGGAGTCTTGTGGGCAAAAGCTCTACTTTGTGAGCTACTTGGCATTAATATTGTGAGCGATTTGGCTGCTGCATAAATTAGTTTCGCATGATGTGCGAAATGCTGGCCTAGATGAATCACAAGAGGGAATTAAGATTGCTGGGGGAAAGATCAACAACCTCAGATATGCAGACGATACCACTCTGATGGCAGAAAGTGAAGACGACCTAAAGAGCCTCTTGCTCAGGGTAAAAGAGGAAAGCGCAAAAGTGGGCTTGAAGCGCAACATAAAAAAACCTAAGATCATGGCAGTGGAAGTAGTGACAGACTTCACGTTCCTGGGATCCCAGATCACCGCAGACTGTGACAGCAGCCATGAAATTAAAAGACGCCTGCTCCTTGGGAGGAAAGCGATGGCGAACCTAAACAGCATGATAAAAAGTAGAGACATCACCCTGCCAACAAAAGTCCGCATGGTCAAAGCAATGGTATTCCCAGTAGTCATGTATGGCTGCGAGAGTTGGACTATAAGAAAGGCCGAGCGCCGAAGAATAGATTCTTTTGAACTAGGGTGCTGGAGAAGACTCTTGAGAGTCCCTTGGACTGCAAGAAGAACAAATCAGTCAATCCTAAAAGAAATCAACCCTGACTGCTCCCTGGAAGGCCAGATAATGAAACTGAAGCTCAAATCCTTTGGCCACCCAATGAGAAGGGAGCACTCCCTGGAGAAGACCCTGATGCTGGGAAAGATTGAAGGTCAAAGAAGACGGGGACGGCAAAGGATGAGATGGTTAGACAGTGTCATAGATGCAACGAACATGAAATTGAGCACACTTCAGAGGACGGCGGAAGACCGGAAGGCCTGGCGGGAGCTGATCCATGGGGTCGCGAAGAGTCGGACTCGACTGTGCGACTGAACAGCAACAACAATACATTAGTTTGCTCTGGAGCCATCCTTCCTGAGCTGAGACCAAAATGTTTTGAGCCAGAGGCTAAAAAAACTGAGTTAGCTCACACTAACTCAGCTTAGAGGGAACACTGGTTGGTATAAACTTTGCAGTGCTGAATTTATATTCTTGTGGAGCAGGTCCCAAGGGGTGTATTGTTATGTTGATGGTCTCAAGGTAACAATTCTTGCATTCGTTGTTAGAATAATCTCAGCCATGCTTCACTTGAGCTGCGGGGTTGGAACCCGTAGCTAAGAAAGTTGGTTTTGGACTGCGGAACACGATGGCTCCAAAGGGCTTTAGGGTTGGAGTGGAGGAAGAAATCCAGATCTTTAGCTTGTAAATTTGCCATCCCTAGTGGTCCTAGCCCCGGACCTGGATGGCCCAGGCTCGCCTGGTTTCATGAAACCTTGGGAACTAAGCAGGGTTGGCCCTGGTTACTACTTGAATGGGATACTTCTGTGGAAGTCCAGGGTTGCTGTGCATTGGCGGGCAATGGTAAACTACCCCTGAACATCTCTTGCCTTGAAAACCCCATGGAGTTGACATAAGTAGTCTGTGACTTAATGGCGGTTTCCATCACCAACTGTCATAGGTTATTCAGTACTGGCCCCGGTCACACGGCAAAGTTGCCGCGGGAGAGGCATGGATGGTAGGCGGATTATCCGGGCGCGATCACACCCTAACATCTGGGAAGTGGAGCGCACCAGTGGCTTACCGCCAACAATGCGCCTTAAAAAACTAGTACCTCCAAGGTACTAGTAAACGTTTGCCATGGGCTGCCTCCAGACGCCCGTGGTGTGATTGCGCCGGCGCGCAGCATTCCCCTCCGGTCCCTCGTTTACCCGCCGGCGCAGAGGGAAGGACCTGTGGTGTGCCACCGGCGCGTCTGATCGCGTAATCGCGGATCAAACTGCACCGGGGCAATTAGCCATGCCTCCCCCCTGCAATATCCGGCCCGTGTGACCGGGGCCACTCTTGCTTTTCTGTCGGCGTGTGTAGGTTGAGTGTAGGTGAGTATCCTTGGGCACGTGCAGAGTGCCTGTTCTTTGCCTGCAGTGTAACCGTCCATGAATTATTTCTGGCTCTGATCTCCATAAATCCTGAAAGGGTGAAGCAGACCTTTCTGTGAGTTTTTAAGGGCTGATGACTCCATCTCAAAGTCTGGGGTGGTTGGCCGGCCTTGTTTGTTCTAGAAAGGATCCCGTAAAACAGCTGAGGTTTTACCTCCTGCGTGCAGAGCTGGAAGATGCTCGTATTTCCCTGGAGGCGGCTGTTGACCTGAGCATGACCCAGGGCAGTCAGCAGTGGGGCGTGTGATTTCGCCAGTCCAACATTAAGGATTTTTTGGTTTGCTGCCGTAACTCTCTTTTCCTCCTTGCTAGTTTCTGCCTCGGGGGCTGAAAGGAAGCAGAAGAACAAAGCCACTCGAGGGAGATGCTCGAATCAGAGGCGCCTTCCCCGCTAGCTCCAGCCACCCACTAGACTAGCAGGATCCTCCCCTGAGATGTAGGGATGGAAAAACAAG